CTGGACGGACCTGCCGATGAGGAGACTTCTATCCCTGAGGCCTGGAAGAACAAGGTCCAGCTGGAAAAGCTTGACCTCGCTCAGGACCCCAGCACTCAGGGCTTCGAGGACGTGGCACTCGATGTCATCTTCATTGATGTTGAAGATCAGGGTGATATCTCACTCGTCTTGAAGAACGCCAAGAAGCTCCTCAAGCCCTCCGGTATTCTGCTGATCGCCAACCACGCTAGCTCCGTCTCCACTGACCTTCTCACCTCTACCGGTTTCTCCTCGACTACCGTTTCAGACCTCGTCATCGCGCGCCAGAAGCCCGAGACAGAGCCCTCAGTCCGCCGAGTCCTCATCGTCACTTCATCTTCTCCATCCTCTGGTCTCAGCAAACTTATCCAGCAAACGGAGGGTGACTTGGCCTCTCAAGGCTACGAGGTCGCCAAGACTGACTTTGCCAACATCCCTGAGCAGACCACTCCATTCCTGACCTTGTCTGCTCTTGACATCGACACTCCTTTCCTGGAGAGCTTTGATCACGAGAGCTTCACCAAGCTTCGCTCTCTTTTCCTCGCCTCGCGTGGAACTCTCTGGTTGACTCTCGACACTGCATCTCGGGGGCTCGTCAACGGTCTTGGACGAACCATTCGGGCTGAACACCCTGACATCTCGTTCACTACCCTTGGCCTCGACGCATCTGTTTCCCTTGACTCCGCCTTGAACACCCGGACCATCTCATCCATCATCGAGAACATCTCTCTCAAGACCTTCGGTGAGACTTCAGACTCCGAGTACGTCATCCGCAACAACCAAGTCCTCGTCGAGCGCCTCATTCCCAACCCCGACCTCAAAGCCCTCCTCGACTCTTCCAAGACCGGAAACAACCTCTCAGCGGTCAAGATGCCTCTGAAGCAAGTCGACAAGCCTCTTCAGCTCTCTATCCGCGATCCTGGTCTTCTCGACACTCTCGAGTACCTCTCCGCGCCTGATCTCTCTGAACCTCTGGACGATAACCAGATTGAGATCGAGGTTGGCTCCGTGGGGTTGAACTTCCGCGATGTCATGGTTGCGATGGGTCAGATGGAGGATAACACCCTCGGTATTGAGTGTGCAGGTGTCGTCGCCAAGGTTGGAGCTGGTGTGCAGAAGTTCAAGGTTGGCGATCGTGTCTTTGGTATGCACGCAGGTTGTTTCCAGACTCGTGTCCGCGTTGATCCTCGTACTTTCCAGCGAACACCTGATTATCTCGGTGACGAGGAGGCAGCTTCTTTGATGTGTACCTCCGCTACAGTTGTGCACTCCCTCATCGATGTCGCCCGTCTTCAACGTGGCGAGTCAGTCTTGATTCACTCTGCGGCGGGTGGTGTTGGTCAGACTGCCATTCGTCTTGCCAAGTACCTTGGCGCTGAGATCTTTGCTACTGTGTCTTCTGAGAAGAAGAAGCGTCTCTTGATCGAAGAGTACGGTATCAAGGAGTCTCACATCTTTAACAGCCGAGACTACTCTTTCGCCGATGGTATTCTCCGTCTTACTAACCAACGAGGTGTTGATGTAGTCATCAACTCTCTCGCTGGTGAAGCCCTCCGCCGAACATGGCTGTGTGTTGCACCCTTCGGCCGCTTCATTGAGCTTGGAAAACGTGATATCTACGACAACAGTGGTCTGGATATGCGTCCGTTCCTTGATAACATCACGTTTTCTGGATTGGATATCTTGACGCAGGTCATTAGCTACCCTGATCGTTTCGAGGCTATCGGTAACCAGGTTGTTGAGCTTCTCTCCAAGAATGCTATCTCGCCTTTGAACAACCTTGCGCGATATTCTTTCGGTGAGGTCTCTAAGGCTTTCAGACTGATGCAGAGTGGTGGTCACGTCGGTAAGATCGTTTTGTACCCTCGCCCCGATGACATTGTTCCGGTAAGTCTTTGCACTCCTTTGCTATTCAACGCGTGCTGATACCTTCTAGGTCGTCCCTGAGGGTCTTGAGAGCTTCTGTCTGCCTCATGACGCCACCTACGTCCTCATCGGTGGTCTCGGCGGCATTGGTCGATCCGTGACGCGACTTCTCGTCGAACGAGGTGCTCGTCATCTCGTCTTCCTCTCTCGATCAGCTGCTTCACGTCCTGAAGCTCAAGCTCTTCTCGATGAGCTTCATGCTCAAGGCGTCCAAGCCAAGGCTTTCGCAGTCGATGTCGCAGAGAAGTCTCAGCTCGAGCCCGTCATCAACGACGTGAAGCAGAGTTTCCCTGCCATCAAGGGATTAATTCACTGTGCCATGGATCTAAGAGTAAGTCCTCCTTGTAATTGCTTTTATTCACTTACTAACGCGCTTTAGGACGCGGTCTACAGTAACATGACGGCCGATGATTGGAACGCGTCTCTCCGTCCCAAGCTCCTCGCGACGCGTAACCTCCACGATCTCCTTCCTACTGACTTAGACTTCTTCATCTGCCTGTCTTCAATTGCCGGTATCATCGGATCGCGTGGTCAGGCCAACTACAACGCGGGCAACACGTATCAAGACGCGCTCGCTCATCACCGCGCGGCTGCAGGACTCACAGCCACCAGCATCAACCTCAGCCTCGTCGTCGGCATCGGTGTTTCCACAGAGCGAAGCGAGGTCTTCCAGCTTCTCAAGGATGGCGGTCTGCTCGGCATGGATGAGAACGATGTCCTCAATGTCATCAAGGCCGCCATCTCAGGCCGTACCCCTACACAGGTCGCTCTCGGCGCGTCTACAGGCGGTCAACTCGACAAGCTGGCAGCCAACGATCCCTACTGGTTCGCCGACTCGCGATTCGCAGTGCTCAACCAATTGGATCGTCAGGGCACTGGTGCTGTCGCGGGAGGCCAGGACTGGAAGAAGCTCCTCGCCGCGGCTGCTTCTCCGGATGAGGTCTACGAGATTGTGCTGCAGCAGCTTTTGGAGGGTGTTTCCAAGATCATCAAGGCTGATGTAGAAGATATGGATTCGCGAAAGTCGCTGCCTGCTCTTGGTATTGACAGTCTCGTCGCGATTGAAATTCGCACTTGGCTACTGAAGGAGTTCCAGGCTGATCTCTCGGTCTTTGACATTGTCAGCAATGATCCTCTGACTGGATTTGCCAAGAAGGTCATGGCAAAGTCTGCCTTGATTGCATGAAGGGCATTGTTGGATGTGAAAAGTTGGTCGCGCTCGTAATCAGATTAGTTATATTTTGGTTTATTTCCTTGTTTCCTTCTTTTCAAACAATAGAACGCGTTGTCAATTCTACATACTTGCAGTATAAAATTTAAAAACTATATAAAGAGTCTCTCTAAGTGTTACCAACTACTTTAAAAATGGAATTATAGTAGAAAACGCGTTCTATGTCTTGAAAACGCGCTCTACGAATAATCACTTCGAAGAAATAGGGTAGGACAGTCGCGTCTAAGGCTTCATGACATCATGTTGCTGAGTGGTTTTGTTGACTATCCGTGTCAAACCGAGCCGAGCCGCCAGTGCCTATCTTATCTTATTACCAATCTCTCCCAATTCCTCGATTAGTTATTACCGAAATGGCTAAGCTCAAAGTCACAAAGAAGTGGATTGACATGTTGAAGGGTGCAGGCCTATAGGACCAATCTACCTGCCTTGACCCTTGAAGGGGCCTCTTCATTTGGTCTCGCGGCATCTTCAACACGACAAAACTACCGAAAGGCTCCGGCCACAGCCAACAAGTCCCCGGTCCGAAAGAGCCAGTTTCGGGGGCCATGGACCTTGACCCAAAGCGACAGAATGAACTGGATAAATCAGTTTCAGATCAGGCGAATTCTTGATTAATTATTTTGGCGTCCATGCCAGGTCCGACGTTTTCTTGGGCCCCGATCCGAAACTCCAGTAAGCATTAGACGATGACCGTTCGGCCGGCATTGGGCCATGATGTCGATGCAATGACTCCAATCACCATGTATTTAATCACTGACAGTTGAGCACCGTCTTCATCTCGAATCATAAGCCATTCCCGCTTCAGACCAGTCTCCGAACCATCATTTCTTCTGCACCAACGTCTCAACCACTTACTGCCCATCATGGCCACCGAGCTCAAAGAATACCTCGTCATCATCCCTGACCTTCCCGACGTCCTAGCCAAACGACAAGTCCTCCTCAAACCTCACAACCAAGACGCAGCTCCCCTGGTCAAGGCCGGCCGCGTCCCCTTCTTCGGCAGCACCCTTGCTCACCACAGCGCCGAAGGCCAACAAGTCGCCGAGAATGGAACAGTCATGATCATCAAGGCTGAGAGCGAAGAGGAGATCAAGGAGATTATTCAGAAGGATATTTTTACGATTGAGGGGGTTTGGGATTTCGGAAAGTTGTCTATTTGGCCTTTCAAGAGTAAATAAGTTGATCATGTCATGGGAGACGCGTCTGGTGGCGTACAGGGATTGACGGGATGCGGCCCGAGAATGCATGTATGAATGACATGGAACGTTTCGTCTTTTTTTGTTTTTTACCAGTTGCAAACAGTTTGATGTGATCTCAAGTTCTGTTACATGCAGTCCAAGTGCCATGTGAATGCTGGGATCGGGTCCGACCCCAAAAAGTTCCGACCGGCCTCCCGATGGTCAGAGCAATCGGAGGCTCCACTCGGCCTGACAGCTTTGCCTAATTCCAATGGTTTCATGTTCTCATTGTCGTTGTATTGCAATACGTACCCGGAAGCTTTACCCCTCAAGGCGATGTTATCGAGGCTTCAAGTGGCAAACAAGTAGCTCAACAATGATGCCCACGTTCACTGTTCTCGTCAAAGATTTCTCGGTACCTCGGCGCTGACATCGGGGACTTCTCGCGATAAGATAAGCCGCCGAGGTTGCAGACTGACACGATGAGCGCTACCTGAAGTAAATGCGAACAGCGATCAACGCTCATAATTGCTGTTGCTTGGTTTTTAACGTTTTAAAATTACATTTACTTCTGACGCGCCTTTAAACTACAATTTCAAGTCACCACAAAGCAGTGATTTGAGAGAACCCATACACAATTTGCCAGTATGCGTAGTCGTCGAGATAATTCCTGGGTAGTTCAGAAGTTTGGTGGAACTAGCATTGGTAAATTCCCAGACAAGGTTAGCTGCACCACTCTTTGTTCAACCTGCTTTGCCGTAGTGATGATTGCTGACATGAACATGGTAGGTTGCTGAGATTGTGAAAAGGTACAGCTGGGTCATTGGGTCATTGGGGGAGCCTACTAATTACGTTACAGTGCTAGGCTTGGAGGTGATAGACCAGCAGTAATATGCTCCGCAAGAAGTTCCGGAAAGAAAGTCTTCGGAACAACGAGTAGGTGAGTCAAACTGCCATCAAACCTCTCATCAGCTTAAGCTACTAATCACGACCATCAAGGCTGCTACAAGTCTACCGCACATTGAGAGGCATCGTAGCCATAACTCAAGACCCTGATATGCAAGAGTTGCTATTCGACAGACTTCGCAGTATCATTCGAGATATCCGTGACGACCAAGTCGCCACTGTCCAGATATATATCTTGAGACAGGACATCCGTGACGAGACAATTCGACAGATCACGGCGGACTGCCAAGAATTGCTCGACTACACTTCCGCTGCCAAGCGCTTCAACCTCGACATCAATGGCAAGGCAAAAGATAAAATGGTCAGCTTCGGTGAGAAGCTGAGCTGTCGACTCATGGTTGCCATGCTACGAGACAGAGACATCCCAGCAGAATACGTTGATCTCTCCGACATTGTACCCAGCAATAACCTGGATCAGTTGAAGCCTGAGTTCTTCCATGAAGCTGCTGCAGTCTTTGGAAAGCGAGTCGAAGCGTGCAATGGGAGAGTTCCCGTCATCACTGGGTTTTTCGGCGCGGTCCCGGGGAGTTTGATAGACAGCGGTATTGGGAGAGGATATTCTGACTTGTGTGCTGTTTTGGTGGCGATCGGTCTACATGCAGAGAGGGTTCAGATTTGGAAAGAGGTTGATGGTATTTTCACAGCTGATCCGAGAGAAGTCCCTGACGCTAGATGTCTGCCTTCGATCACGCCATCAGAAGCAGCTGAACTGACGTTCTATGGATCAGAGGTCATTCATCATCTTGCACTGTCTCTGGCAATTCAAGCAAAGCCTCCAGTCAGCATCTTTGTCAAGAATGTACAGAAGCCGTGGGGTCAAGGAACTGTTGTGATTCCCAGTGATGGTGACGACACATCTTCGTGGCCGATCGATTACCTAGATCCTTCTGACTCGGAGAGTACTTCCTCTACCGCGCTGCCAAAGATGCCAACTGCTGTCACTATCAAGCGAGACATCACCATCTTCAACATCCTCAGCAACAAACAGTCCATGTCTCACGGCTTCTTCGTCAAAGTCTTCACCATCCTGGCTGAGCACGATATCTCGGTCGATCTGATCTCCACCTCAGAGGTCCATGTTTCTATGGCAATTAACAGTTCCAACATGGATCCATCACAGATCAAGAATGTTCAGTGCAGACTTGCTGAAGAAGGAGAGGTAAATGTGCTGCCCGACATGGCTATTCTGAGCCTCGTGGGTGCTGAGTTGAAGAACATGACTGGCATTGCGGGGAGGATGTTTGCCATATTGGGGGAGCAGCATGTCAACATTGAGATGATCTCGCAAGGTACGTTAACTACAACCGAGTCTTTGAAAATCCTGTACTAATATTTTCGGCAATAGGTGCGAGTGAGATCAACATATCATGTGTGATTCCGGATAAGGACGCTACTAGGGCTCTGAATATGTTGCACGATGAATTGTTCACAAAGAATGCCATATAGACTATAGCTGGAAGCACCCAAGCACACAATTTCTTACTTGACATAATTAAATAAAACTCTTATGATATTTATCAGCATTATTTCGAAGCATAAATACAATACGCTGTTAGAGTGTGTGATAGAGGCTTCAAGCCAAATGAACTAGAATAACCCAGTCTGGCTTATCTTTCTTCTTCCTCCTTCCATTTTAATCTGGTGAAAGTGCCGAATCATCCTGTACACCACGAAATCTTGCCTTACTATAACGGGAGGTCTCCTCAGTAGCTATCCACTGACACTGACCTGACGATATTCTCGATGCTTCCTGATTCCATGGAGAGGAAAAGCTCCGGTGCATAGTCACCCAGAGCGCAGCACTGTCTCGTATACGATTAGGCAATGCCCTCAAAAACTAACAATGAAACCTCAAAGGGTTTGTGCTAGGCTTGGGGGGAATCATGGTCTTGACGTGAAGTGAAACTAAGGTGTAGATGGAAAATATAAAGACACAATCTCAATCTATTGTCTGAAGTCTAAAATAAAGAAATAATCTATTATATCCCATAACAATTCTGAAACTTTTCGTTTGCAATCAGCCATCCAGCAGCATCAACATAAGAAAAACAACCATAACCCTCTAGTGAAGAGAAACAACCGTCTCGATGATTAACTCTGCAAAGTGTACCAACTCTTCATTGTACCTGGGGAAGTTATGTCCGCCCCTATGTGTCATCTTCCTCGCCATATCGGGATCGAACAGCTCGTACACCGATTCATCGACGAATGAATAGTGATCCTTCAGTCCACGGACATGGACAGAGGGTACTGGGATCTTCTCGGGGATATCACTAGGTCTCCATCGAAGGAGGAGATCAACAGGCAAGTCAAGCTCATCCTTGACAGCGTTGATCATGTCGTACTCAATCGAAGTATGAAGATCCTTCTTCCAGTCCAACTTCTTGCCGTGAGACACGTCAATTCGTCCAGGGAGGTATGTCGGCTCAAGGGTGTTCTTCTCTGTGAGGTCCCAGCTAATGACACCATTGTCAAAGGAGTGGGGAAGGAAGGCTGATGTGAAGATGGCCATCTTGAATGGGTATGGTGTATCGGGGTGCTCAGCTTGGTGCATGAGAAGAAGAAGAGCAGCCATGGAACCACCCTGTGAGAAGCCCCAGATTCCATCGAAGGGACCTTCAGACTCTACGTAGGCAGCTAAACGCTCATAGGCCTCTTCGACGTCTTCGGGGTAGGGGAAGTTGTACCAGCTGTAGTTGGGCTTGGGGACTTGCTTGAGGTTTGCTGGTCATGTTAGATCCTTGGATGAAGTGGAGATGATTTGCTGGCACTTACGGAGCATCAGTTCTGTGGGTTCCATGCCCGCCTCGAGGAATTCGTACTCCCAGTCACTTGGCAGATGAGCAGTGATGGGCTCCATCTGTTGTTGGAGAACCTCTACGCTGAAGGCATAGCCGTGAAGACAAAGAAACCTCATCTTGATCGGAAATAAATGATTCTTCTGAAAGAATATTGAATTGAAAGTCAAAGGGTGCTTAGAGTCAAAGTTATGAATGAGATGAATGTTAGTGAGCTGCTGTGATTGAGAATATTTTAGACGTTCACCTAGGCAACCTTTTTATTAAGCTTCTCTTCCTTTCGTCCGGTCTTCTCTATAGCTAGTAAATTGTAAGTAGAACGGCAGAACTCGGTCTATTCTTTGTCAAGCCTGTTTAACGCTGTTTCACGATCGAGCTAGCGGTCTGTGATGCATACCATCCGAACCACTCGGACTGCCTTGCTGAGATCTGTAAGGCAACGGTATTGATAAGCTTGATACAAACGGGATTGCCGGAGCCACAAATACAGGGATGAATCTATATCGGGCCACTCAGAGGCTTCCAGAAGCTTGTTCCGTCGATCGGAAGCTGTACGGAAGCTTTGCAGAAGTGGATCGAAGGATCGGAGGTTGGAGTGGCCACTTCGGAGGTTCGAGAATAACACGGGTAGTTACTTAGACCGGGTTATCTCTTGCGAATATGAGATTAGATTGCGTCTTTGACATGAAAAATTGACAAATTCTTGAAGTTGGATGTCCCGATGCCGTTGCTGTAGTATGCTCTCCAACACTCAGCAACTGATGATATCCCCTTTTACTCTCTGACTAAGCAATCGTCTCCGATGAACCAGCGCCAGAATCTGAGGGCACTTCGCAAACATATTCTACCCCGTTCCCAGTACCTTCCGACTATCTCTTCTGGCAAATTATTTGTAGCAGCAAGAAGAAGGATGACGACAACGACAACGACACCAGCGTTGCCAACGCCCATTCACGATGGTCTGGGTAAGGGCATTCCATATGGTAAGACCTCGGGTCCAGCATTTCTTAATGGAGTTATACTAACTATGCGCAGAGAAGAGTGTTCCTAGACCCGTCAATCCGTTCTCGCATCGTGTCCCCGGACGAGAAATCATCACAATTCCCAACTTCACACTCGAAACCGGTGTTGAGATGCGAAATGTCCCAGTTGCATACATGAGCTGGGGTAAGCTATCGCCAAAGGCCAATAATGTCATGATCATTTGCCATGCGTTATCTGGGAGTGCAGATGTCAGTGACTGGTGGGGACCGCTTCTTGGGCCTGGGAAGGCATTTGACACAGACAAGTTCTTCGTCATCTGTATGAACAGCCTCGGAAGTCCATATGGAACGGCCAGTCCAGTGACGGCCAAGAATGGAGACTATTCGGAGGGTTGGTACGGGGCTGACTTTCCGTCAACTACTATCCGAGATGATGTTCGGTAAGTGATCTTTTCTGGGACAACCACGCTCACCAGCTAAGAAGTATCACAGACTCCACAAGCTGGTTCTAGATAAGCTCGGAGTTCGAAAAGTTGCAGCTGTCATTGGTGGATCTATGGGAGGTATGCACGTTCTCGAATGGGCGTTCTTTGGTAAAGACTACGTTCGCTGTATTGTACCAGCTGCAACTTCAAGTCATCAAAGTGCGTGGGCCATTGGATGGGGAGAGGCACAGCGTCATGCCATTAGGAGTGATGTCAAGTACAAGAATGGTCGTTACGGGTTTGATGATCCTCCGAATCTTGGTCTGGAAGCAGCTCGTATGACGGCGTTGTTGACGTATCGAAGTCGGGACTCCCTTGAGAGACGATTTGGACGTGATACGGGAAATAAGAAGAAGGTGAGCATCCGATCTTCGCGAGAAAACTGAGTCTAACACAGATTTGAGACACAAAAACATGATAGCAAAACATTACCAAGCAACGGGACACCAATTCACAGTCAAGGAGGCGCAGACGAGACACCCGTCGCGTTCGACCGCGCCGACTCAAACTTCGCCGCCCAATCCTACCTCCGCTACCAAGCAAAGAAGTTCTCCGACCGCTTCGACAGCAACTGCTACATCGCCCTCACCAACAAACTTGACACTCACGACCTGGCACGCGGTCGAACACGGACCGTTACTGAGGCGCTGTCACTGATTGAGCAGCCTACGCTCGTGCTAGGAATACGAAGTGATGGCCTGTACACGCTTGCTGAACAAGAGCAAATTGCACGAGCTGTGCCAAATGCCAAGTTGAGAGAGATTGTGAGTGACGATGGGCATGATGCGTTCTTGATTGAGTGGAGTCAGTTGAATTGGTTGTTGATTGGGTTTTTGCATGAGAGTTTGCCGGATATTATGCAACGGGCGGCTCTGTAATGTTGGAGTTGGTATATTGCTATAAATGTCTGCTATAGCATATCTGGTAAAGGCCATAGTGCCTCTTATAAGTTGCTCATATCTGATCTGTAGCATACGATCTGCCTGGCCTCACGCACGCGAGGTACACATGAACCCTGTCATCGCTCTCCCAATCTCCCAAGCTCTGAACCAGCCGTTTCCCTTTCCTCTGTCACATTGAACTCAGACACGCACAGTATCCTCATTGGCTGGGTGTCATCTTGAAGCAAATCGTCCTGCACATGATGCCTGTGTTGTCGTTCGGTATCGTGACCACGGCTGGAAGTATTGTGCTCCGGTTGTGGATTGGCAACGAATGTCTTGCTCCAGCGATTGGGAGTAGGCAATGCCGGAAAATATTTTGAAAAGAAAGGTCGTAGCGTCGGAACGCAAGCGCATAGGAGTCCGCAACAAACTTCGACGAATGACCAACACGCCAAATCGACATTCTCCCACGGAATGTCGTGTATACAATCCAGATGGAGGATTCGAACTATGGAAATAGCACAAGTACTATGCAAATAGTTAGTAGTGGGTGTCAAGATAAGAATGCTTGAGTTTGGACTTACAGAAAGCCCAAGCAGAAAACTGCAACCAGTACATAGCGCTGCCGACGAGCCAGCTTCAGATTTATCACAACTGGCAAGGGAATGGCTATAATCATAATATCCGTCACGATGTTCCCAGCTGCAGTGATGTACCACATTGGTTGTTTCGGAAGGCATTTGCCCTGTATATTTCTGTCCCAGAACGCAGCTGTAGGGGTACAGATGAAAATAGCAAGGAAGATCTGAGAGATGCTCCAGGCTGAAACGAGGATCATAGAAAGGATAAGAATTGTCCTCATCTTCGTGGCGAATGCGCGGTAGTATTGGCAGAGGAGTGTTGTCTTGATCGCACCGAGTGTTGCCGGGTAAAAGATGATGCTCACGTAATATAACTTTCAATGGCATTAGCAGGTAGGCAAGTGAATTCCAAGAAACAAACCTTGAAGCAATTCCTGATTTCCTCTTCTGTTAAGAAGACTTGATGTCTACCAAATCCATATTTAATGCCTTTTAGTAGTTCAGTTTCTCACCCGTTCTGAGACTGGATTTCCTCATACTTAACAGTATACCAAATGCACAGGAAGTAATAAAAACCTATTAAGCTCATACTTAACGCCTGACATAGTCCACGGTGCTGAAGACAGGACTTACCATAGACAATACAGCCCAAACATCGTCAGCACCGAGTTGCTTTAGTAGGATGGCTCGAGTGTACACACGTAGAAGTACAACAGCAAAAGTAAGCAATAGTAATGGTAAGATGACACCTAATATAAGTGGTACCCGGGTATCCCCCTCATTCATCTTGAGTGTCAATCGCGTTGTAATGCAATGCAATGGCCGCTGAGTGAAAGGTTTCGAGCTTCAAAAGAGGTAATCCGTCTAAAATATACTACCATTGACCCGATGGGAAGCTTACCAACCAAAAGCCCGTCAAGAATAGAGTTAAGCCATTGTACTCCGTATAGCCTGCCTAATACAGTCTTAGCCTAAGCTCCTAGTAAGGCTAGGGAAGTTACATGCTTGAGCTATTGAAGCTAGTGAGCCGACTGGAACTTTAGAGACCAATCAGATGAGCACTCTGACTTAATTACCACGACAACATAATTATATTCACTGCTGTTTATTGAAGTTTAGATACGACAGGTAAGGGTATTTCCGTTAGACCCTGCTGTCTATCACCTTGCTTACTGTAAATATCATAATTAGTTAGTTAGGAAAAAGACCATATCTTCACCACTTGGCTACCTATATTACCCTTGAAGTGACAGAAAGTAGGCGATAACAGAAAGACCCTTACTCAGCTTAACAGTTTGAGAAACAAAGCTGCAAGGAGGTAAGGTTTGTAGTGCTAGCGTTGGCTGTCCGTCTATTAACCAAAACTAGATATCGAAGTACAATTTGGGCAGAACGCAGAGTACTAACTGCTTATGGGGCGAAATACCTCAGTTCAGGCTGTCAGCTCAACCCCGGTCGCCACTAACGCCCTTACTGCACGCCACAGCATACCAGCTGAAATTTGACAGTAGGGATCAACATTAACTAGAGGTATGGAGGCGCGCTTCAAAGCGAGACTCAGGTACGTCAAGTTCCTACATGATCTGTCATGGCCTTATGTCTAGATGGTCTAGATCGGAATGGCGTTGACGTCTTGGTAGCCGAACCAGTCTGCCGGTATTGCCGTTTGGATATGCCACTGGGGCGGTTATAAGTAAGCTTATCCTTATTAGATTTAGGATGGGGACAACTCTCTGCGGACCCGAAGAATGGTGCTCTACTTTGGTTTAAACAACTCCACAATATTATGAGCCCCGTTTGCAGCCGCAATATCCAACGCTGTCCGATGCTCCCGGTCCCCCGCCCAAAGGTCCAGCCCCTTACCCATCAAAACCTTTAACCTTTCCAGCCTTGTGAAACAATTCTCTCGACCTTCTTGTTTCGCCACAACATGGAGGAGAGACTGCCTCTTTCACGTTAACAGCCGTGCAGTCCACACCCACCTCCTCGAAGAACGCCCATACCCCTGGTGTTTTTTCTTCGTTGGCTTGACTCTTAACCTCAGAATGGTAGATAAATAAATAATGGCCGAAGCACTTGTAGGGATAGACTCTGGCCATACCAACGTGAAGATCACCCTCGCGGCCGGAGGCGAAAATAGATGCCTCACCCATTTCGTTTCGTGCGTTCATGTCTACGCCTTTTGAGAAAAGTAACTCCATTGTTGGGTAAATGGGCCCTTCCTAGACCTTGCCACCATCGGTATCCACGAGTTAGAACCATTTCCTCTGAAGAAGAAGGTAAGCGGTGTATCACCGTTTTCATCCTTTGAACAGACATTGGCCCCTGCAGTGATATGCATTTGGACAAGCGCTTCACTCTCTCTAGACTGCCCAGAAAACCAAACTCGTCTTTACTACCCAGAGCACATTGTGGTGGAGTCTTGCCGCATCATCGACCTGATCCAAAAGCCCTGGTACGAGAGCTATAATATCGTCGAATGTATTCTCGCTTGAAAGAAGCGGAGAATATGGAATACACCTTTTGTCGAAATTGTCTCTTGCGTAGACATCAGCGCCTCTAGTGATCAGTATCTCAGTTGCCTTTTCATTAGGTCCCTTGAAAGCAGCATGAAGCAACGGAACACCAGCAGTGTCCATACCATTGAACCGCGTGCTAAGATCTCTGACCAACCAACAATTAACCCAAACAAGCCCCACGTACGTCAAGTCGCTCACTGACGCGTCTCATGATTCATCCGAGTTCCGTCCTTAGTTAAAGAATGGCGGAAAGTCAGTATGCGCCATCATTCGCCACTAGACAGATTCTTCTTCGGTTTCGAACCTAGCGATCGTGACGATAGTTGCATGATCCGTAAGATGTGCTGAAGCCGGTCACACTTACAGGCTCTATCCGTGGCAGTTACTGGGTTCGACTGGCGGCACTGATCCCGTGACGAAAGTCCCATTTTCCTTTTTCGCCAGTGTAAGATATGATACTATCTTGTTATAGTGTTGCAACGACGCTACAGCACCAGTACACACTGTCCGAAGAGGTACAGCGCTCAGCAGACTCTAGGGTATGAAATTGCCAGACAGTTTATATGGTAGAGCTTGCCATTGTGCCGGGGTTGATTTAGTACTTAATCGCTCGTTATCGTAACGTAGAACTCGCAATGTATATAGATTCAAATTGACAGCTATTATTTTCAATACCATATACTATAATGGAAGGCTGGTGTTGATCGAGACGGCATCGATCCGATCCGAAACTCCAATGGTCGCTGAGAGTCACGGAAGCTGGCCGCGGCCCGAATTCCGGGTGTGAACGCGACGTCGGCTAGCGGGGTAGCCGGCAGTTGAACCGGCCAGGAGCATCGACACATTTGCAGTGCGATATTATGTTCTCTCTCTTTCATAATGTGGTCAAACTGACACCGGACCCTCTACCATATCCTAGTGCTTAGTACCAATTGACCACTGTATCGGCCAATAAACACATTGAGAATGGCGTCCCCCAACGGTGAACCTTACTTTCTACCGGCTGAAAGAGCTCAATCCCTCGCCAACTATCCCCACGCTCGAATAATACAGCAATCAGCCAAAACCATTTTTGTATCTGGGACTTCCTCACGTCGTGGCGATAATACTGTCGTAGGTTGCACTACAGACGCCAACGGAACTCACCACCTCGATATTTCGCTGCAAACGGAAGCGGTACTGCTGAATATCGGAAGCATTATTGGCGGCGCGACAAACGGCGCGTGTGGACTGCAGAATGTGGTCAACGCCACTGTTTTCTTGACCGACATGAGAGACTATGCTGGGATGAACAAGGAGTGGAATAAGGTATGGCCGGACAAGACCAAGGCGCCTGCGAGAACCTGTATACAGGTTGCGGCGTTGCCAAATGAAAGGTTGAACGTGGAAATTCAGTGCACTGTTTTGTGGGCAGAATAACTTGCTTGTTTGTTTGTTTCTACCATGTGATTGGGCACTATGGCCTCGGCCACCAGCGATGATATTCAATTGCTATCAGTTAGCCTATACGATTACAGATAGAGATCTGCAACTCCTCGAGGATATCCCTGTCACACTTGTGCCGATTAGCCGGGCATTGGTTGTCGAGTTTTCGGAGGACTCCGACAGATAGATAGCTACAGGAGATAAGATAAAAAACATATCTGATTACTCTGAATATATGTCCTATAAATTAAGGTGAATTATGCTTCTTTAGGCAGGTAATGAATATCGCTCAGCGTGTGATCTTCCAATCAGGTTCACCTACCTAAGTAGGTGCATCAGACTTCCTAGTTATTTACCTATCAATGGACTATCCGCACAACGTGCCGGCATTTATGTGCCGAGCAGTAGCGGTTTGCAGCATTTATCAAAGGACCCTTTGCGTGACATCCAAGACTGACTCGGCTGTAAGACCAGATGGAGAAATCAGAATCCGAATGTCGGTCGCTCAACGAAGCAAGATTGCCGACTCAAGGATCGAGCGACACGTATATAATTCCTCTGTCTATATCCCGTAGGTAGATAGGCCATTCACATAGACACCAACATCATCTGTATCAATATTCTCTGACCTAGCCAAGATGTTGAGATCCCTTCTCGTGGCCTCTTGCGCCATCCGTGCTGTTCATGGTTGGGGTGTTTTAGGCCATGCCACTGTTGCCTACATTGCTCAACACTTTGTCGACGACGACGTTGCTTCATGGTAAGCACTCGAGACTATCTGTTCACTTGGTCTGTACTGATTTCAGAACAGGGCCCAGGGTCTTCTAGGAGATACTTCAGACTCATACCTTGCCAACATTGCCTCGTGGGCTGATACCTATCGCACAACTACAGCTGGAAAATGGTCGGCCCCTCTACACTTTATTGATGCAGAGGACAGTCCGCCAACAAACTGCAACGTGGACTATGATCGTGACTGCGGCAGCTCTGGATGCTCCATCTCCGCAGTTGCCAACTACACCCAACGTGTTGGAGATGGCCGTCTATCAACTGCTAACCAAGCTGAGGCTCTCAAGTTCCTTGTCCACTTTCTGGGTGACATTACCCAACCACTACACGACGAGGCTTACGAGGTCGGCGGAAATGATATCAAGGTTACCTTCAATGGGTATTCAAGCGATAACCTGCATTCAGACTGGGACACTTATATGCCCGAAAAGTTGATTGGTGGCCACGCCTTGACCGACGCGCAATCGTGGGCAAACACACTTATCAGTGATATCACTTCGGGATCATACAAATCCAAAGCCGTTTCTTGGATTGCAGACAGCGATGTGACTGATCCTATCGCATCAGCTACGGCCTGGGCATCAGATGCCAATGCTTATGTCTGCACTGTTGTCATGCCCAATGGAGCTGCAGCCTTGCAGACGGGCGATCTCTACCCGACATACTACAACTCTGTGATCCCAACCATCGAACTGCAGATTGCCAAAGGTGGTTACCGCTTGGCGCATTGGCTGAACAGCATCTACTCTGCCAAGGTTGCAACTCGTTCTGTCCCCAAGCTCAATGTACGAAAGCCACTGCCGGACTTGATGGGACGAGATCTACTTCCCGGTGTGCGACCTTTGAGCCGCGCTAAGCTCGCGAGAGAGGCGATGGGAGGGAGCTGCTGCAATTCAGGTCATTCTCACTAGAGTTTATGCCTAGTGGATGGGAGTTTATGGTTGTTGGAGAAGCCTGGGCTATTTGTATGGTACTATCTATACTGCTATAACTAATAGCTAGCTGTCATCTCAATCTCAACATCAGTGCCCAAAGGCAACTGGTGGACAGCGACACACGTCCGGCACTGTAGGTGTGAATGTTAGTCAAGGCAAAGCATTGAATAGTATTTTAACGTTACTCACAGGCTTGGGTTCGTTGGGGAAAAACTCATCCCATGCAATATTGAAGGCGTCGAAATCCTTCATATCAGTCAAGAAGACATTGGCCGTCACCACTCGGTCTAGACTACTGCCAGCAGCTTCGAGCACAACCTTGAGATTCTGAAGCGCCATGCGAGCTCGGTCCGCCACAGAACCTGGAACCAGATCGTCAGTTGCAGGATCAATGCCGATGGAACCGCTGCAGTAGACCATGCCATTGTACTTGACTGCTTGAGAGAATTGAGGCAGAGGCGCACAAGCGTCGGCAGTGTAGACTGCTTCGAATTTCGACATGCTGAGCGGAAAACGAAATATGTGACGAAAAGGTTGCCAAGTTTTGATGTTGAGAACAAGTTCGTGAGATTGTACAGTCAAGTTCATAAGCCATCACTAATCATGAAATTTAAATACTTGTGCACTTCTGCTTGTACTAATCCTTGTCCCATTGAAGCAATCTACGCGGTACAACCTGTAAACTAGAGCTCTTACCCACCAATACTCGGACTGGCTCCACTACCCTGGAGTGGAGATAATTTGTAAGGCAAGAAACTCCGAGATAAAAAATCTGGAGTCATGGATGGAGCTAGTCTAAGCCAAAGAAAGCAAAGTAAGCGGCGCTACCCACCTTTGGCATCGTCAACATGAATCTAGAGACTATCCCGGCATATGCCGAGAAGGCGAGTGGGCCTCAACAGACGCCGCCGGCTAACTTGATACAATCATTGACCAATGGATGAGTCGACGACCTCTGGGCCTTGCTCGTCTTTGACATCCATCACATCAAGGGCGTAGGCCGCTCATGCTCCATACCATTGGCAGTCATCACGCGCAGATATTTAAACATCCAATCCGTTCTTGGACTTTCATCTTGAACTCCGAGCCAGACAAACGCATCCGAAAACAGACATACACATCCCATCCCTTCAAAAAGTATCCATCATGGTCCGCATCACCCCTTTCGCCGTGGAGCAATGGATGGATGCCTACGAGACAACTCCAGGTGTCCTGAACGTCGCTGAAACATGCGCCGCTTCTGTGTCCATCGATGACTTGGTCGCCATGTCTAGCGGACCCGCCAAGAGCCCCATCGACACAAGCATCAAGCTCACATATGGCGCGATCCCAGGATCCCAGACTCTTCGAGAACGTATTGCTGCCCATTGCAGCACTGAAGGAGTACAGCTGGCTCCAGAGGGCGTCATAGTCACTCAAGGGGCTATCGGCGCTAACTTCTTGGCTTTGTATACGCTGATAGGTCCTGGTGACCATGTCATCTGTGTTTATCCAACCTATCAGCAGCTTTACGACACCCCGCGCAGTCTCGGGGCTGAAGTGACTCTGTGGAAGTTGAAAAAGGAGAATGGCTTTGTCCCTGATGTTGACGAATTAGCTGGTCTGATCAAGCCAAACACCAAGGTATGGATTATGTCCCTTGATTATTTATAGAATACGAGAGGCTAAGAAAAGCTAGATGATCATTATTAACAATCCCAACAATCCAACTGGAGCACCAATTCCAAACAGTGTCATTGACCGTATCTCCAAGGTTGCAGAGGAGAATGGTATCATTCTCTTCTCTGATGAGGTTTACAGACCGCTCTTCCACGGCGGTGCTTCCGGCAGCAACCAAACCGAGGTGCCCAAGCCAGTGACAACACTGGGGTACCACAGGACCATTGCAACGGGATCGATGTCCAAGGGCTATGCGCTAGCAGGCATCCGCGTCGGATGGATTGCCAGCCGAGACCGGTCTATCATCTCTGCTATCATGCTAGCACGCGACTATACCACTATCAGCGTCTCCCAGATCGACGACCAGGTTGCCAGATTCGCCTTGTCACCTGAGGTCAAGCCCGCATTAATAGAGCGGAATATATCACTCGCCAGAACAAACGCAGCCATCCTTAAGGAATTCATGGACCGTTATAAGTCTGTTTGTTCGTGGGTGGAGCCCAAGGCTGGCACGACAGCCTTTATCCGGTTCAATGACAAGAATGGGGATCCTGTGGACGATGCCAAGCTTTGTCTTGATTTATTGGACAAGGCTAAGCTCTTGTTTGTAGCGGGATCTCGCTGCTTTGGAGGTGATGCAGACTTCAAGGGCTATGTCCGCATGGGCTACGTTTGTGAGACGGATGTTTTGGTTTCTGGCTTAAAGGCGCTTGAAGATTATATTGATCAAGTTTTGGTCTAATCTTCAACGCCTAGTGTATGTACAAGACTTAGCCACAGTCTAGCCTTACTTCTAGATATTTAGTAATGCGTTGACTGGTTTTATAAACGTGTTACGTAAAACTGAATTCTGTGGAAGGTAACTCCGAATAACAGTTTCCTGATATAAGAAAGCTCTCTACCATACAAAATCTCAACTCATGTTCTCTAATAAATTCCCCTTCATAGAACACCGAACTGGAATCTCAATGACGTTTCTTCGGCAAAGTCACCAAATGAAGGAGCTGGGTATTTCCAAGGCAGCGTCAAAAGCCCGCAACTGGCGAAGATCCTGCAAGCTCGAGATAGAACTCTTTGACCATTACGCGGCCACGATCTACTCCTCATAGTCCGTTGTGCGTGGCAATTTATCTATATCTCCGGCCAGCGATATCTATGCTTCCTCCATCATCATCTCTCTTGATGGCGTCACAACAATTCGTACGGTCGGTCAGAAGTTAACAGCAACAACTACGCACCGATTTTTGAAGATGGACTTGATTTCATCTGATATTTTGGAGCTGGTTTCAACAACACTTAAGAAGAATCACTCATACAAAATACCTTTCCAGTTCAGTTTGCTCCCAAGAACTGGATCCAACTGCTTGTAAGCACAATGTCGTGTCAACAGCTGTCACAAACCAACATTTGACCCTCCCTCCATCGGTCGGAGGGGAGTGGGGTGGAGGTGACATGAGTCCAGGAGTGGCTGAGGTAGAATATACGGTCAATGCCTGCGTCACGTCAACTCCATCTCTGGACGCAGACCAGGGTCATGGTTTTACGGCCAAGAGGACCATACGATTCATCCCGAGATTGAGTGAGAGCCCACCTCTACACGTGTCGTTGACGAGCCCTCGATACAAGCTGCAAGGCACAAAATCTCTTCGGAGGAACTCGCTCAAGCGACCGTTTGGCACCATCAGCGCCGCAACAATGCAGCCTGGACCACTGTATCTCCAAGCGTATGGAACCATCATTACGCCGACGTTCATTGATGTTACATTGACATTCAAGCCTGAAGTCGATGGGATCACACCTCCTACAATGGACAACGTATCTCTTTCCCTCTGATCCTACACTTGGCATCAAGCCGACCCGTACCAAGTATTCCCTGACCAGGATGAGAAGCCCAGCCTCAAGCAACCTTTCATTGCGACAATTGCACTAGCCGTCGATTGTCCGCAATTGTCATGGGCACAACATATTGATCCAGAGCTAGAGATTAAGAATCCAGAGAACTCTTCTGCGGAGTTCTATAGCTCTACTCTACAGCTACCGTTGTCTGTCTCCACAAGTAACAAGGTCTTTTTGCCGACATTTCATTCCTGTCTTGTTTCTAGGACTTACGATATGAACCTGCGTCTCGGGTTCAAGAAAGGGGATTTGACAATTACAGCACCTTTCCAAATTATAGCCGAGCCTTAAATTAGAAGCGTTCAACAAGACCTTATTGAGCAAATATTCTTATCAGGTGACGCCTCTCGATGTTCTTTTTGCTTTTATAAGTTGGTTAGCCAATAATGCCTTTGTAAAAGTGAAAATCAGGGGTGTCTGTTGTGATTTTATGACTTCACACCTGGTCTCTAAACCCGGCATATTGTGACTCACTACAACCAAGTTAAGTAAAACTTTGAGAAAAGTACTGGCTGGATGGAGTCAAAGGCTTGCCTTGGTAATTCTTTTGACTGAAGGACTCTAGACTTAAGCCACCCACTAAGCTAACCGCGCTAGACTTGAAGAAGCTTTGCTGGGAGGGCAAGTCGAAGCGCCTCCGAGTCTGAAGCCCGGAATACGCTGCGATTTGCTGGGGACAGAGTAGTGGGGTAGCATGACCCCAAAAAGCTCCACAAACTCCGAGTTACCATACCTACGTCGTTCCTTTTCCCCCTCCATCAGAGATCAAACAGCTCAAGCAGCAGCCATGAGATCATTCCCGAGTGGCTGCTGGACTTGCAAACTCAGACATCGGAAATGCGACCTTCAAATCCCTGCGTGTAGGGAGTGCACAGAGCGATCCATCCTGTGCCATGGCTATGGCTCCAAGCCTACGTGGATGGACGGATCAGCTGCTGAGCACGAAGAGCTTGGACGAATCAAAAGGGCTGTGAAACAGCATCTTAAGAGGATTCGAAGGGTTCAACGGAATCAGAGCCCTGGAAGAGGTGTAGCAAACAGGTCTCCGCCAGAGAGACATGTCCGGACCCAGACTCTGTCAGCTCCTGATGCTACGGAACTTTCGCATGCTCTAGATCATGACTATGATGATTCCGAGGCCCTAACACTGCTTGTAGATACCGAGAGTAATGTTTCACTCACAAGAAGATCTCTTCAGGAGAATGAAGCTACGCCACCAGTCACTCCACCACAAGATCCCACTTCCCCTTACCTCTTGCCACCGAGATTAGCATCTATAATCATGTACTATCTCGACCATGTATTCTTCTGGCAATTCCCTTATTTCCAGTCTTGGTCCTGTTTGGGCAACAGAGGCTGGCTTCTCATCTTCCTTAACAATGGCGGCTCGCTGTCACGCGCTGCGTTTGCACTCTCCACTTTACACCGAGATGCATCCCGGAAGAGGTGCTCATATAGCCAAGAAGCCTTCGAGTTTCACTCAAAAGCCTTGAGGGAGTTGCGCAAACTCTCGCAACATATTGAGACCGAGACACTCCTTAGCGATCGAACCAAGTTGGCCGAATTTATAGCTGCAAGCCTGACACTGATAAGTTTTGAGGTAGGTCACGAAATGAACCGTGCATTACTGAACTAACCAATCCCTTCTATTTTATAGGTGTTCAATGGAGCTGAGTACGATTGGGTGCCGCACCTCGATGCTGTGACGGCTGTCCTCGCTATGCATTCACCGGACGCGCTACTCCGGGCTTCATCACCACCCGAAAACACAGTGCCTTCCCCAATCAATTCTTCCCGTGATGGTGATCTTCATCACTCACTACCTGATTTCAACTTTCTTGTGGCAGAAGCATTGTGGCATGACATCTTGGCGTGTGCCACGACAGGTCGAGTTCCACGAATACCTTATCGGCAATGGCTGGAGGGGTCAAGTCTTCCAATGTCTGATTTGATGGGATGCTACAACTGGGTCATGATTGCTATTGGAGATTTGGCATATCTGCAAGCCTGGAAAAAGGATATGAAACAACATGGGAGCTTAAGTATGCCAGAGTTGGTGAGAAAGGGTCAAGAAATAGAAAAGAGACTGCAAGACGGCATCACCGATCTAAAGCAAAATGCAAAGGCAAGTAGTAGCAGCATTCAGAGGACGCACTAGTACATAACTAACAACTCAAACTTCAATAGGTAAGGACCAGTATTCGAGGCAATATTTCACCGGCGCCATGGGTCTCTCACATTTTCGCACTTGCGTCCCTGGTCTTATCAAGTACAATAGTCTCCGGTCCCTCCACCTCTCTTCCCGAGGTCAAAGCTGCGATTTCAGAGTCAGTCATTGTGCTGAGGGACTGGCCCCCAGGTATCCCTCTCCGGGGGCTTGTCTGGCCACTCTATATCATTGGGTGTATGGCCGAACCGAGTCTATATGGTGTTTTTGAGTCACTGTTATCTAGTGTTTTGGAAGAAAGTGGAGGGTTTGGGAACAGTGGTACTGTCCTTAAGCTCTTAAAAAGCCGTTGGGACGCACCGCAAACTTGTAGTCATGATGAGCTGGAGTTGGTATTCCAAACAGGTGGCAATGTGTTGCTTACATAGATTCTTTCATTGGTGAAAAGGAACTTTCTATGACTTTCTTAATATGGAAGCCCGTTGACAGGAGTCCGATATCGAGCGCGCCATACATAATATATTCAATGAGTAGCTGCGTGACTTGAGCTTGAGAGCTAAGACGTTCTTCTCCAAATTTGGAGGAGAGGCATGGGTAATCATGATCTCCTCACTACATTTGAGATATCTGGCAAAGCAGACTGAGACTTCAACAAGCGCCATAAAAAAAATGCCGATGCGTATACTCCGTACCTTGTAGCGGATACATGCGGCTCAATGGCAGCCATCCTGGGAGGGCAAGTCGAAGCGCCAGTACTGTAACTCGAGAAAGCGTGGAGTCAATTGCTGGCTGGCTCTTAGTTATGGTATCTCTTGTTTGCATTAGTCTAGTCTCTGTTAAATCACCGTGAGCTCTTATATATCCATGTCTCTCAGCGCTTTCAAAACAATCAGCCTCCCATCTTCCTCAATTCTCAGACATTCATAAAGCTTATTACTCTGCCCTCATTACATCAGATCACGATAAATATCACAATGAAGTTTGAGCGCATGCCCATTGAGATTGAGTCGCCCGAGGAGTATGGCTACGACAAAATCAAGTACAATCTCTCAGAAAGCTCCGTCACCGACCAGACACTCGAGTCACTGGATATAAAGATCCCAAATCTCACCCTCCTGTACAATGAGCACCGCGGCGAGACCAAGTTGCGAGAACTTATCGCTAACGACGCTGGCGTGAGTGCTGATGGCGTTCTCATCACCTCAGGGGCTGCTGGGGCACTGTTCATCATCACGACCTCTCAATTAGGTGGTACCCCCAACTCAGAGCGTAACCATCTTGTCGTGGTGCGACCCAACTACGCAACCAATCTGGAGACCCCCAAGGCTGTCGGCTGCGACATCTCATACATCGATGTTACTTTTGAGAATGGCTTTCAGCCCAACATCGACGAGGTTGAGGCTGCTATCAAGTCCAACACTCGGCTCGTCTCGGTTACATGCCCACATAACCCTACCGGCTCCACACTCTCTCGAGAGGCACTCGATAGGCTTGTTAGTATCACGAAGACGAAGGGCGTTTTGCTTCTTGTCGATGAGACATACCGGGATATCGCTTTTGCTGAAAAGCTTCCTGTTGCTGCATCTTTGGGCGACCATGTTCTGAGCGTTTGCTCGCTGTCGAAATCCTTCGGCATGCCTGGAGTCCGCATCGGTTGGCTCATCACCACCAACAAGACACTTCAGGAAACCTTTCTTGCTGCAAAGGAACAGATAAGTATCAGCGGCAGCGTCATCAATGAGTGGATCGCAATCGATGTCTTGTCCCGACGTGAGAAGATCTTGAGCGACACAACAGATGAGATGAGGGTCCGACTTCAGATGGTTGAGTCTTGGATAGAAGGCGAGGAGCTGCTGGAATGGGTCAAGCCAACTGGCGGCGTTGTGTGCTTTCCGCGTATCAAGCAGGAACCCAAAGGGGGCCTTGCAGCGTTTTACGAGAGGCTTCTCAATAAGCATGCGACATATGTTGGACCTGGTCATTGGTTTGAAATGTCCGATAGCTTTTTTAGGCTCGGCTATGGATGGCCCACTCGGGAGGAGCTTGAAGGAGGCATGAAGGCAATCTCTGCTGCACTGCGGGACGAGTAGGACCAATGATTCAAATGTTCAGTGACAGTAAGATATTAAATAAAGAAATGGAGGGTGCATTACTTATCATTGTTCGCTTTGAGCTGTCTGATAGACCTTCCAGGCTCGACTACAAAATGCCTCGGAGGGGTAGATGGCGTATTGGAAAAATATCTCAGCGGCGCGAGATGCTGCATATGCAGATAAGCCAGAATAGTCACAACGACCCATAATATTCTCAAACGCTCCAGTAATGCGTCACTGCTGCATCAAAGCCAAGGCCAACTTGCATGCTCCCTACCGCCGAAACTGGGCATTATCGCCGCCTTCAAGAGGGGTTTAGACAACGCCACGGGGTACATAATTCCAGGCCTACCAACTATTTCACGTTGGTCCGATCTCTTCTGTCCTTGATCAAACCCAAGACAACTGATCAAGATGCTTCTTGAGTGCTTGAGATCCAACCATTGGTGGGTCGCCGCTCTGGCTATTATCACTTGGTACATCACCTCTTCTGTCACATCATGGTATCGTCTACGTCATATCCCAGGGCCTTTCCTAGCCAAGTTTTCATATCTATGGCTTGCCCGATTAGCACTAAGTGGCAAACAGTATGAGGCTCATCTTGAGCTCAACAAGAAGTATGGTCCTATGGTTAGGGTCGGCCCTTACGAGGTCTTGACAGATGATCTGGAACTACTGCGAAAGATCAACGGTACAAAGAGTTTGTATGCCAAAGGAGCATCCTACAGTGGTTCCCGATTGAATCCCTGGCATGAGTCACTTTTCATGATGAGGGATCCGATAGCCCACGATAAACTGAAAGCAAAGCTTATATATGGTTACAGTGGTAAAGAAACGATGGGTCCAGAAGCTGCTATTGACGAGCAGATCATGAACCTTATCCGTCTCATACAGGAAAGATATTTATCTAAGCCCAAAGAGTTCCGTCCGCTTCTATGGTGCAAGACGGCAGGCCTCTTTACTTTGGATGTTATCTCTCGCCTTGCCCTAGGCCAGGCATTCGGCTGCTTGAAGAGAGACGAGGACATGCACTGTTTCTTTGACACTCTGAAAGATTATCTGCCAATTATCTCGTTGACAACAGATGTTCCTTGGCTTCGGAATATTGTGTTCTCTCCCCTCTTTCTCTGGCTGTTCGGTCCGAGTATCAAAGACAAAAAAGGAATAGGGAAGATGATGGGCCTCACCAACCAGGTCGTTGAGGAGTTCTACCACGGGGATGGTGAAGTCAAACGGGATATGCTTGTAAGTTCCCATTCTCTCCCACTTGCGGGGTTTGAGAGCTTTACTGATACTTCCGGAAGAGCTCATTTAAGAGACACGGGTTGACTCAAGACGAATGCGAGATTGAGTCAATATTCATGTTTGTCGCAGGATCAGATACCACGGCATCTGTCATCAGAGCAGGCATGCTTCACATTCTTGCGACGCCTCACGTCTATTCTCGCTTGAAGCAAGAAATCGCAAACACTATCCGTGAAGGATGGGTTTCGAAACCAATCAGCAATACAGAGTCCCTTTTCCAACCATATATACAAGTAAGTAACATAAATTGTTCATCGAAGGGTAGCTAACTGTAAACAGGCTGTTGTATACGAATGTCTTCGAATCCGATCTGTCTCGACCAACATGAGTTTCAAAGAGGTTCCAGCTGGTGGTGAAGTCTATAACGGAAGACTTCTCCCTGCAGGTACCAACATAGGAATCAACTTCTCAGGACTCCTCCGCTCGGAGACCCTGTTTGGCAAGGATGCTCATATCTTCAGACCAGAAAGATTCACCGAGGTTGATGACAAGACAAGTGCTAAGATGAAGCGAGACGTTGAAGTGACATTTGGGCTTGGGAGATGGAGTTGCTTGGGAAAACCAATCGCGTTGATGGAACTAAACAAGATCTTCTTTGAGGTATGGATTGAGCTGATACAGTGGAGTTGCGTGAATGCTAACGAGAACTCTAGCTCTTTCGCCACTTCGAGTTTCAACTGGCTGAGCCACACAAGGCAATGCAGTTCGACTCCTACATGTTGTTTCGTGATGAAGGCTTGGTTCTTAGGGTCACTGAATCAGACCTCAAAGATCTGAAGTCAACACGAGAAGATGTATAGTAAGAGAGTAAAATAAAGACCTTTATGCTAGTGATCTCTTCAACGACTTTCTAAGACAGTGCAGCTAAGATAATGTGTATAAAAAGGCCGCAGTTCCCGAATTGGACGTGAATGTATCCAATGTTAAACAAACTGACCAGCCACGATGAGCCTATCAGTCCCACTGAGCTTCCAGAACCTTCGACTCGGGTTCCCACTGATTTATGCTGGGGTCGTTGGGATATCCGACGTATTGGACGAAGCATTCCGTCTCCGTACCCTGTCCATTTTTTCTGCGCCCGTGAGCATAAAGGATTCGCAGAGGACAGGCCTCCACGCCTTGTGCATCTCTCCCGCCAACCTTCTTCCAGTAGGCGAGGAGCTTTGCTTCATCGCGCTCGTGAACAAATCTTTCGTCGATCCAACCCTCCCATCTGGCCCTGGACTTTGAGCCCCTTATAAATAAGGCCACGAAAGGGCCGTCCTTGTCGCCGATTGTATCGACCTTGTGCTTGAGAATTAAAAAGCTGGGGTGCATATCGTCCATTGCTGTGGTATGTCAGAATCCAGGTGCAACAGAATAGAGGGATGTTACTTACGGCTGGGGACTATAGCCCAAGAATCAGGAGTGGAAGCTGGAGAAGCCATTTCTGACAGGTAGGAGTGAGTAAGTTGATTGTTGTTATTGTATTATACAGCTCTCGTGGGAGATGTTTGTGAATGAAAGGTCAGATTGGTAGGAATGTTGGGAGGGTTGAACTTGGTCGGGAAGAGGGGACAAGAGGGGTTTTTATAGGAGACATCATTAAGCTTGACTTCTAACTTTGAACCAACTTTCACCGCATAGAATAATAATATTGAAATAACTTTGAAATGTTGTGAGAGTCACCTTCTAGGTTTCGATTCTACCAGCTAGTATGCTGCAGTAATTGGTTGAAATTTGTGGTATATTGTCTAAGTTCGGATTTACAGGTTAGACATGTTGCTCAGACCTTACATCATTCCATTAAATCCCACCATTCTGTACAGGTTAAAACTTAAATCCCAGGCAACCTATATAAATTTGTAGTCATTAAAGTTAAAGTAGCGGATCGAAGTTATAATTCGTAACCCTTTCTTCTGATTGGTGATCTATGCCGTTCACACGACAGACCTACATTTAGACTTAACGTACAATGTTCTCCGTAGTCGATCGATTTGTGGGACACTCCTGGTGGAATGTCCGTGTTGTGACGACAGGGTAGCTAGCCTTGTAAGTGAGTTCCAAACTCAATATAGCGAAAGCCTTCTGAAAGCCTTCTGAAAGCGCCCAACCTTCTCAGCCTTCCTGACAAAAGTCAATACGGGAAATTTCGAATGGCTCGAATCCATGGACTGTATTGGTAGCCCCACTAACTCTGAGAAAGCTAGTCTTTAACCTGTATCCCTAACAATACCTTGGATTTGTCAAAGCTCACAACTTACTTTGATGGAAGAATAACAAGTTAGAGAGTCCTCTAGTTGTTTCTTTCGGTGATGATGGACATTTAACTTTGTATTGTTATAACCAATCACCCAGGGACCACGGCGGATCTTGGTTGGTTGGCCTCAGTTTTTACATGGTGATTTGGACACTTTTCGCGGTGATTGGTCTACTGCCCTACTGCCTCCCTAATTGAATTGATGCTGGAACAGACGTGGAAAGCATCATTATGGCAAGAATTCTGTCTCGATGGGCGCGCAAGGGAATATCTTGTATTCGCTCTCAATGCAACTGATTTGCACCTGAAAGACACGTGGTCAGACGTTTCCGAAAACCATAACAACATCAAGTTATGCTTCTTGTTCACGAGACTCTTTTTAAGCACGAATTGAAGATTGCATGACCCATACCCACGAATATAAGGTTCGGCAAGTGTTACAGCCCCTTGCCTTTGTTCCGGGAATTCTGGAACGCAGTCTCGGGAGCATTTTAATTCCGAGTCGGTAATCATCCTTTGCTTTACTAAGGAACCGCGCGTCTTTTACTAATTCACATCTCAGTGTATGTCGTTTGTAATATACTACCGATCTTGATCAGCATATTTAACACGCTGGCACGTAGATATATAAACGGTCTCCATACTACTCAGAACGATTTCGAGAACCATAATCATCATCTCTCTTCTTGACTCTTTCTAGATCGGCAGACATACCCCATTTCCGAAAGACAAAGCACCAAAACAAAACGCGAAACCATGGCTATCATCGCTGTTGCTGGAGGGGCCGGAAAGGTCGGCCGTGCAATTGTTGAGGCAATTGTCGAAAAGGGCGAGCATACCGTGCTGGTCCTAGCCCGTGAGGTAACTATCCCGCAACGCAAGACTGCAAGAAGACATCTCACACATCTTCCAGGTTAAAGATGTACAAGGAGCCCAGGTGATCGCTGTGGACTACACCGACGTGGACAAGCTTGCAGCTACGCTCGAGACTAACAGCATTGATACTGTTATATCCACCATTAATGCTCTTGACGACGTCTCGGCTGAGCTGAACTTGATCAAGGCAGCTGAGAAATCAGCACCTACCAAGCGATTCATCCCTAGTATTTGGGGCGTCAAGTACACTGAAGAGTTAGTTCTGCTGTACTAGTGAAATTTTGGAATAACAAAACTGAACTGCGTGGACAGTATGGTACCTTATTTCCCCATCGCTCAGGCTAAGCTCAACCTCCTTGCTGCATTGGAAGCAGCCTCGAGCCTCGAGTACACCGCCGTGTACAACGGCTACTTTGCTGACTACTGGGTGCTCCCCAACGTCAAGTCTTACCAAAGCCCCGTCGTCCTGGTAGTCGACATTGCGAACAATTTTGCCGCTATTCCTGGATCTGGCGACGAGCTCGTAACCTTTACGCACACCTTTGACATCGCAGCCTTTATCGCGGCCCTCGTTGGTGTGTCCAAGTGGAACAAGGAGTCGTACATCATTGGCGACAAGGTCTCGTGGAATCAATTCGTGCAGTACGCCGAGGAGGCCAAGGGTGTCAAGTTCACCGTCAAACACGACTCGATCGAGGACCTCAAGGCTGGTAAAATCACGGAGCTGCCATCTCACCCTCACATGTATCCCTTCTTCCCTAAACCGATGCTGCAGGGCTTTTTTGCTGCTTTTGGTCGCATGTTTGTTGAAGGGGCGTTTGACCTCAAGCCTGAGCGTACACTCAATGAGCAATTCCCTAAGGTCAAGGCACGAAAGATCAAGGACCTTCTCTTTGAAGCTTGGGGCCAGTAATTTAACCTCCAGCCTAGACTATTGGGGCTGAGCAATCAACGAGCAGCAGGTAGAGCTAGCCTTATGGAGAAACAAGGATCCTTGTCCGTGATTACTAAGGGTTGTGATTGTTGATCGGATGTAATTTGATTCCGATGCTGACTTTTTACCACAATGATAAATTTTTCCATTAACTTTAACAACAAACATCAAAACCTTGACTTTTCCTTGTATAATACTCCGTATCAATTATCTAAACCTTCGAACACGAGGAGCGGAATGGAACCCCAAGAACCGGCATGCGTTGGTGATGGAACAAGTAGACGAATTGGGAATGTAAGCCCCCCACAATCTGACGTCTTACCCTGCAGGCCTAAGTCCAATAGGCTTGTGTCCCTTGTAAAAGCAGCAAGGTACGATGTGACGGCAAACTACCAAGCTGTCAGAGATGCTTAGAGCGGAAGAAGACATGTCACTACGGCGAGCGAAGAACAAGAGGCCGTGGCAAAAGGTGCGTCTCCGTCATCGCCTGGAATACTTATAGTTGACCTCGAATAGCAAACAGTACATTGAAACTCTCGAGCAACGCTTGAAGAATGTCGAAGTCGCATTGCAAGCCTCACCTACAGCTAATGAAGAGTCGAGTCCGAATTCTGCAGAGTCAAGACAGTCCCATGATACATCCAACAGCCATTCGACATCAAGTGCCAATCGAGCCCAACCTCTGCCGTCAAGATGGTCGGAAGACATCACAAGAAACATAATCCATGCTCAGAAAAACAACAGCAATATCGAGCGAACAGTCTTCGCCCCACTTCCCCCAAAAGAGCACATTATACACTTCATATCGAGCGCCTTACAGGACATGTATGAAGCACAGTGGCTCTTCAGCACTGAGCATGTTCTGCAGCTTATCAATGACCAGTATTCGGCCGGGTCGTCAAACAGTCATGCCAATCCTGCTCGGTGGGCAACCCTGAACGCTCTGATGGCCACGGGCGTTCACTGGAAGGCCGACAACAATGCGATACACGAATTGTTCCCCATTTCATGGGCATGGTTCAAAAATGCGTTTGCTATTTTTCCAGAGATCGCCATCAACGGTAACGGCATCGACTCCTGTCAGGCCATGATTGCTATGGCCCTATTCATGAAGGGAACTGCTGACGCCCGGGCATACACCGCCCTGCTATCCGCGAGTGCGCATGCTATCGACTGTATTGGCCTGCATTCTGAAGATCTTTGTGAATCGAGTGACTTGGTCGATATAGAAATGCGTAAGCGGTCCTTTTGGACTATATACGTACTCCGATGCAATGCATCGCTGAACCTTGACATTCCCGCACCGTCTGATCCGCTTCGCGTTGAGCTTCCATCACTTGGCCTTCCACTGGATACTGGTTTCAGCATACACCAGTTAAGGCATATGTCAACTTTGGCACTGATTCAGTCGAGAATAAGTCGATGCTCTTGCTCATCACTGTCCAAGAGCAGTGATAAGATGACGCAGGCTCTCGCTAAACTAGACAACGACCTCGAATCGTGGAGGACGGGACTGCCTACACAAGTTCAACTTACAACATCGGCCCAAGTGGACAATCTTGACATCATACAGCTCCACCTTTCCTACTACGCTTCTACTTGGAAGATCTATACGGCTCTCGCGAAGCTCTGTAATGTCCCTCTCACGTCGATCGAACGAGAACAGCTAAATCTGCAACTTAGTACGCTTGTCCCCACGCAGAGCGCCAGAGCCACGATTTCTTTGCTGCAAGGTCTATCCTCACAGCCATTTGCTTCTCTCTGGTACGGCGTTCATCTAATTATATAGTTTCCAAGCTGATGTTCCAGGCAAATGATCTGCTACCCGATGTGTGCCGTTCTGATTCTCTTGACCGCAGTGCTCCATGGTCCCCAAGATTCACAGACGTCTTTGAACGTCGAATGGATTGAGAAATTCGTTGTATTTCTGCAGAGCTTCCAAGACCGAGAAGGATGCGATCTGAATGGCCTTATCGAATTTTGCTCCAAGCTGTACGATGTCGCATCGTTTGCACAAAGCGATCCAACAGATCTAGTAAGTGAAAGTGAATATGGCACAGACCTTTGGCGGGAGTATACGGTAAGTCTCAATCATAAGAAAAGTCAACAAGTCGCCCTCGCTGACCTCTTAGGACTTGCGTATCCGCCTCCAAGGTTCTCGGGACCCGATGCTGCTCGCCCAGGGTCTTCTAACCAATATGCCGATTTTAGGAGCCAAGGCAACAGAGGTATTCTCTGGAGTAGTAGCAGGAGCCAGAGTAGACGGGTTCACGCAGCTTGTGCCAAATGTACTCAAACCGAGGTCATTCAACTTCTTTGGCTACAATGAAGCTACTAATAGGCATTAGACAAGTAGCACATCAATACCAGCCATATTATATGCATCAGCCCAACTCAACGATAACCCTTGGTCTTCAGCGCTATCAAGGATGACCCATATCTGCTAGATCGAATCCCACTGCTTGCTCATATTACCCAACTTATATCCAAGTACTCGCTTCCACCATCGCTCCCATACACCGCGCCGCCCTCTTATGGCATTACAGCTTGCAATGAACGCCGGCCACGTGGTTGGCGCCATCGAAATGACCTGCCCATTCTTGGTCGTCACTGACTTTAAGTCTTCAGCTTTGTTCACATGCGGGTCGACTTCATCAACAACTCGTGTGAGATCCGAACGCTTCATCTCTTGTATGCGAGTGTAGTAGTAGATAAGAGCTGCTGGATTCCATCATTTAGCATAATGAGCAAAAACGGACCAATCTATCCCATCCACTGTAAGAATGGTTGTGAGATCCTCATCTTCCAATCGCCAAGCTTCAAGTGTGCTACCCAGATCTTCACATGCTTGTAGGAACTCCGCAGGTAGTCTCTCACTCTGCAATTGAAAGCGAGTCAGATGCTTCGAAAGGCGGCGGGTCTCATTGATAGCCAGTGTGACGGTTGGTGTAATGCCGTGAGTAAATACATAACAGTCACTAGATTGAAGAATGGAAGTATCAGAGATGGTCCTATCATCCTTATCGCCCCAAGGAGAGAGCGAAGGCTCAGACGAAGTGGTTTCTGACAAGAGGGCCGAGTTCGTTTAGTCTTCTAGAGGCTCAACAGCCTCCATCGACTCCGTAGACTGCGGAGCTGTGTGGCAGCTTGAACGTGCAAACGAAAGTCATCGCATTCACCCGAAAAACCTGCAGACTCGAGGTTAGCAGGCTTAATGAATTGAAACAGCATGTATAACGGACGCCTATGGTACCAAGGGACAGTACAGCAAGCATCAGGGCCTGGTAATTTGCAGTGGGCGGCGCTTGCGTGAGTGCAACTTGCAATGATTGGATGGGACTGGTTCGATATCTAGTCCCGAGCGCATGATAAAAAGTGTCGTGCTTGTTGCACGGCCAACAGTGGTACGATGTGGATGACAACAAAGACTGATAGAGTGCAGTGTAAGCTGTCGCCCTGGAGGTCGTGTTTACATTATAGCCAAACAATCCCTCCATTGTCGTGGGGATATAGAGGCTTCGAAATGGGGTTTCGAAATGATTCAAGAGAAGGAGAACTGCTGCCACGTGAGTATAGTAATGATGAATCAAATGATCCTGTTGGCAATTACCAGACATGAAATGGTCAGGTTGCCATATTATGATGTTGCCGTCGTTTGACCTCAGAGACGTTTGCAGTACCTGGCAATCCCTTTCGCCAAGTTCAATATCATCATGTCCTCCTATCAAGATGTCTTCGGGTTCGTCCTCGTCTAGGAACGATTCTCCAATAGCGTTGATATTAAGCAGTTCGTCAATGTCCGTGGGAGACGAAGAGAATGACGCAGCTGCCAGATTTGATGGGAGCCAAAAAGCTGAACTCGGTACCGCATCACCGTCACCCTTTTACGTCCCTTCTTCATAGAGAACTGTATCCTCAGGTTGGGAGGGACTTGTAACTGCTGGTGAGTGAGATTCCGTAGCTAATGCTGCCTGCGGTATAATCCCACGTGACTTTGTTGGTGTAGCAGCCTCATCTGATGTATATCGTATGACTATGAATGCTGAGACTGGTCCCTGGCACAAACCCTCTTTATAGTCGACATACTTGTCGATGTTTGAAAGAAACCTATCCATGGTTTCTGCATCATAGACTTCAACATCCCGACCTAGCGTAGAATCAATATTAAGTCAATTATCAGAGGCTATTTAAACATACCTAACTTTATGCGCCTGAGCGCCTGGAGTACTGGGCTTGGACCGGCATTTTCTACAGAATTGTATACCCCATGTAGTCTGATACCATAGCCGCTGCAAGCTATTCCTCTTTTCTTGCACCTTTTACAAGCAATCGGGTATTCGTCATACCTGACCTTTCGGCTTTTACATGTCCAGCAACTGGATTGGGCATCATCGATCAGCAGACTCCTCGGTGGTCTGGTCGGAATAAATTACCCCGTGTATGTCACAGCACGTTGGGTCGTCCTCGACAGCATTCTCTTGTGCAATGGGCGTGCTTGTCTCGTGGCTCCCGGATAATCGAGAACTAGGATTCAGTTACATCCTGATTTACAATCCCCCGCGGCTAAGTAGCGATTGTATCACGCGTTTCGAGTCGCCACTCCACTCCGTGTTGAAGTAGAACGATGGAGTACTATCCGCAGTGGCGCATGATAATAATAATAATTAATCGTCATAACCACACTATATTATGTCTTCATCTGGCTTGTACATTGACCCTTCATTCATTAATACATTGTCATCACCTTACTTCACAACACAGTATTGTTCACACGCCTAGAATGCACATGTCTTGCTTTGTATACCTTGAGATTACCTCATGGTCATCCAAGGTTCGTGGAATGGACAAACAAGGGTCTCCAAACTAGTCTATAGACTCATTTGTCACATGGAAAGCCTCAAACTAATCGTTCATTTAATTATGCCAACTGCCTCTTTGTTTTACGTGGTGGCGAGAAGAGAGGATGGAGGAGCTTCAATTAGTTTAGGCTGTTTATTACGCAATGGGAGTTTCAGCATTTGGTAGTAGATAGAATAAATTGTCAACAGTATCTGAGTATCCCTTCCTGTCTTACTACTGTTTCTCGCTACTGCTAACTCCTTCACCAAGATGTAAGAGCTAGCCCACCTGCAGTGACTATATAAGACCACGTAACAATACAACCCGACCAGTTCAGTGCTAGATATGCTACCAATTAACTCGAGGTCTGGATGAGACAAGTTAACACACTTACAAAAGGCCCTGATCTTATCAGCTGTTCTTTTACAAAGGGCCAGGAGGATACTGGTCACCACGGCAGTGGAGGATTGCCTCGCAACCTCGAGACCAGGGATTGGCATAGGCTTTAGGACGACAGTTCTGCCAGGATACAGTTCTAAGATCGCAAGGAGTGCCATCACGTCTGAGACCATCATAACTGATATAGTGCTGAGCGCTACCGAGGCTGACAAGGGAGAGGGCGGTGACGATAGAGAACTTCATCTGGGCTGAGGATGGTAAATTTGCTTAGAAAAATGAGTTGTGCTTGGAGAGTGATAGAGGCGAGAGTGTTGGTGTTTTGGTAAGTCTTCAGCAGTACGTTCTAGGTATTTATATAGACATTCTATCTATAGACGCCTAATCATGCACGGCATTAGCTATCACTCCTAAGAACAACAAATTCCCAAATTATTACTCCTCTCCTATTAGCTAGTCCCCTAACAGTACCTCAAGCTTACAGTCTAGGACTTTTAATATATTAAGCTTTACTAAGAAGGTAGTTTTGAAGCTATCTCAAGTAGCGCACCAACCAGTACTACTTGTTTTCCTTCTCACCCTTCCCGGAATCCTTGGTTATTCATTAACCCATGTTATACAATCGGGCCGTCTTTATATACCTGCCTTATAAAATCCTGCTTCAACTTGTAGTGGGAACTTGAAAACCAAGAGACTTTAACTAAGACCGTAAATCTTTCAAGGCCCTTCTTTACGAGGTCGCGAATGTTTAGCTACAAGCTTCAAGACATCAATGGAACAGGCGTCTCGGGGACTTTTGTAGCGCTATGACCGGGGGTATGTACAATACATACTCTCTACCTTACGCCCGACACTATTGAGGGACAGGTCTAGTAAGCAATATGTAAATAATAGCAGTATTGTAACCTTATATAGTGCCACCAAAAACATATTTATTACACAGATCTAAGAAGTTTGCTTAGCTAGAGAATAGAAAAGGTAGTGCCTTTTATCTATATATATTTAGTATATAATTTAGATAGCATAGACTGGTAAAGGTGAGAATAGGCACTGAATCACGTATAGTGTCATAGTAAGCTATATAATGTAAAAGCAAATGGCTAAAAGGTTATGGTTAAAATGAGCATTGAATATGCATAATAGGTAGGATTATCCACTGCGGAAATCGGCACAGTAGCAGCCCGGGCCATCCTTGAAGTATCGAGGCTTTTGCAGTCTAGCAGTCAAGAGCTAAAGCCATAAAGTTTACAGGCCATAAACATACATCAAATCCGGCTATCTAATTCCCATCGATCATTGTAATATGACCAACATAACAGACATTGATTTTAAGAGAGTACAGTATAGATTTTGCAATGCTGCTAGGTCCCCAAAGTTGAGTAGAAGAGCCTAGTAGACAATTCCAGGTTTTGTTAAGAACGGTTGGTCCAAAAGTGCTTAGATATTCTCCTATAAGACGTAGCAAACTAAAGACTATAAAAAGACACTAATTATCCAGAGCAACCTTGAAACACGCTATACACGTAAACCTCGCATGATTAAGCTTTTGATACTTTAGAGATAAGAATGCAAAACTCTTATTAAAGTGACCATGGGCTGCATAGTGCCGAGTGGGATGCAGGGGTTTTACAGCTAAGACCAGGCCTAATGGCCAACAGACTCCACCCATTACGACTACAGACACTCTGGTGCCGGAGTTGGCGGCCTCGTATAATGCACTTCAGAAACAAGTCGCCGGCAAAGCTATGTTAGTGTCTCCCGGTGGCCGGGGCTACCGACTGGACCGCTTGTCACAGAAGTGCCATGGACTTTTGTCTGTCCGCGGGGCACGAGTCTCCAGCCTCAACAGACAATGTTGCCAATCCCGAAAAGCAACGAAATATCCAGAAATCCAGCTCTTACAGTTTGTGAGCCTTGGAGTACTGCCTTTTGTGTGGTTTTCACTCTGGAACAGGATATAAGATACAGAAGCTCGCTCAGTTTTGCGTCGTTGTCTAGTTGAACCACAGCGAAGAGCAATGGCTTTACAGGAGGGATAAACTCTTTACATCCCACAGACCTTATGGACCCCCACTGGGAGCTCCATCGGGCTTGGATTGGATAGTGTTAATCTTGCAGGATTATTGGGTTGCCAAAATGCCTCAGCAGTCGAAGTTTCACTTCAAAACTATATCGTAGGTTGGACATGACATGGGTACAAGAGCGGCGGTGAAGAACATAAGATCTATCACAGAAGACAATATCACTCATCAGACATTGTAAAGGAAGCAGCGAAAGGTAGTTTATCCACTATTATATTTGAAAGATGGCGTTTATAATCGAGGAACAGATGACTGCGATGATTACCAACTTCCCAACCTGAACTTCGAATAGAGGACCAGAAGAATGCACCCTTTGACGTGTCTGGGCCACTTTGCAGGGCACTCGGTCTCTGACGCCCGCAACGAACTGTAACCAGCTGAGGATACGGATCCTGATACCTCGGCACATGCAGTTTGCGCAGATTTTACGGACAAGACTACAAGACATTTGCGACATATCCTTACATCCTGACGAGGTTATAGCCTACCGTACCGCAAAGGGATAAAAGCTTGCCGAAGGACAGTGGATCAACATCATTAGCTGCTGGGGTGTTGGGCATCATGGTGTACTCCAGTAGTATATTCCTGACATTGCTTACATTTATGAAGGATAATTGTCCAATCTACTAAAGTGATGAAGCTCAAACTTGTCAGCATTAAATCAGCAAATCTTAACTAGTTAGTAAAAAGACCTTCAGTAGCGACTTCATCATTCATGCAATGGAGAATCCCAACTATAATGGCAAGAATAACAAGACCATTAGCATCAAATGGCACACCGCAGTAATATTCAGCAACTCCGAGATATCTCAGGAAGCAAGATCTGAGTTACTGCAGCCAGGCTTCGACGAACTAATCATGTGCTGTAGGATGTAGTACTTAGAGGCTCTATAAGCTTGACAATCTATACCTTATGTAAACCTATAGGGCGCACGAGGCAGTCCGACAGCGGAGAGTGCTACTCCAAATATGGCACTCGAGAGCGAAACCCGTCCAATGAGGGACGTCGCATAATCATTTCGCCGACAATGTCTAGTTATGTCAGCTTTTTAAGTTGTTGGTTATAAATAACCTCACTGTGACTGGTCCAGCCCATCACGAAGTCGTGCTACACCTTGTTTTGCAAATACAGTTAAAGGCGCTCAAAAATGTCTGCGGAAAAACAACGCGCGGCCTCGCTCCGAGATGCGGAGAAAAAAGCTGTCGAGCTTTTCAACGAGATCGAGAAAAGTCTTATTCGCCCTGGCATCAGCGAGAAAGACTTGAACAATGAAATCCATGCTCTCGGCGTTGAACGTCACGGTGTGAGGACTCATTGGCATAAACGAGTGATTCGCAGTGGACCCAATACACTGAGACCATTCGAAGAGAACCCACCCGACAGGATAATTCAAGAAGATGACATCCTCGTCGTCGACCTTGGGCCTGTCTTTGAAGAGTGGGAAGCTGACTTCGGCCGCACCTTTGTTCTGGGAAACGACCCGAACAAGATCAAACTGCGGGACGCTCTCGAGCCAATCTGGATCAGCGTCAAAGCCAAGTACTGGGAGAATCCAGATATGACGGGAGAAGAACTGTACAATATTGCCAAGAAGGCTGCTGAGAAGGAGGGCTTTGAGTTTGGTGCACCGATTGCGGGACATATCGTCGGTTCTTTTCCGCATGAACGCATTCCTAAAGACAAGATCACCCTTTACATCGCTCAAGGCAGCAACAACTCTATGAATACTGTTGGGAAGGATGGGAACAAGAGGCACTGGATTCTTGAGATCCATTTACATAACAAGGAACTTGGATTTGGTGGGTTCTACGAGCAATTACTCACAGCCTAATGCCTCGTTACATTCCCATTTCTATAACCGTAGCAGGCTTGAAAAAATCAATATTACACCACATAACTATAGATGAGAAATACAAGTCTCGTTGACATGTAGGCTGGTGATACTCTGCACACTAAAGGTCTATGAATTAAATGTCAATGGATGCTCTGCTAGATTCAATGTTATAGCTACCGATCAAGCTGGATATGATGTCGCCGTGGGAAAGCTCCGTACTATTCTCTTCATTCTAAACAACCTTTTAATGGCTAGGAGTATTTTACTGGTGTTGGCTTTTATTTTATAGTAAATTACAAATTCCGTATTGCATAAGAGAAACCATAGCATGGAAAGTAGTTTAGGGTATCTATATCTCTTTTGCTTATATATAAGTTATACTCAAGGAAAGGCCAACAACTCAGGGAGTAACTAATTAACCTTCCGGTTACGGGACCCTTTATAACTTCCGACCCGACTTACCTCGTGTAATAGATGTAACCCGGTATTATACAAACTGCCATTATGTGTAAGTACAGTAATTGGTGTCGGCACCGATTCGGCAACAACCCAGCCGGGTCAGACCCACCAACAGAACCCCTGTTAATTGGCTGTAGTCTATGGCAGCAAAGACTACTTAAACTATTCATGCCTCAGAATAAATTTCTACTTCGATTTTTTTCAGAATGACAAAAGGACATTTAAATCATATTAAGGCAATGGCAAGCCCAGAAACAACTAAACCGTTAAAACTTGGCGGTGAAGGGTTGAGTGGACAGGATGCGCCACCGAGTCTACTGCAAAAACCCAAACCCGGTTCAGAGGAAACACATACTGCAAAACCGAACAATGAGCTGGAAGGAGGGGCTCGAACTGACCCTCTGGATATTCCGTATACAATATACACTCACTGGGAGAAGGTGGGTATCGTCTTACTCGTTTCATTCTTGGCCATGATCTCTCCTCTGTCCAGTACAGTCTTCCTCCCTGCCATTACTTCCATTGCCCGAGACTTGAACGTCTCTATCTCCCTTTTGAACTTAACCATAACAGCATATCTGGTAAGTCGCTGATTCGTCTCAAAGATATGCGGCCTTTTCATCTAACTTACGGTAGATCTTCCAAGGACTTGCACCATCAGTTATCGGAAACCTCTCAGATTCATACGGACGGAGACCAGCATACATGATTTGCTGCATCATTTACCTTGGTGCCAACATCGGTCTAGCATTGCAGGATAGCTACGCTGCCTTGCTTGTTCTGCGTTGCTTACAGAGCTGCGGGAGCAGTGCTACTATTGCCCTTGCAAGTGGGACGGCTTCAGATATAATCGTCCGAGCCGAACGTGGAAAATATTTAGGCTATTCTGCCATGGGAGTAACACTTGGTCCTGCTCTTGGCCCTGTTATAGGTGGCCTACTCGATGAGTATCTCGGTTGGAGATCCATCTTCTGGTTTCTGACGATTCTCTCTGGTGTGCTATTTCTCATCATATTTGTCTTTCTCCCAGAGACTTGCCGAAGTGTCGTCGGTAACGGGAGCATCACCCCACCATGGTGGAACATGTCACTCGTCGGATATCTAAGGCAGCGTAACACTGGATACACCGACGCGATTGCCGAAAAGCCTCACCAAAAACGACCAAACCCGATTGCATCCCTCAAAATCGTCTGTAACAAGGAAACCGGCATCATCCTTCTCTTTAGTTCTCTCATGTATGGCGGATACTATGTAGTCCTGGCTACACTCTCCACCCAACTAGCTTCCCGTTACCACTACTCATCTGTTGTAGTGGGATTGTGCTTTCTTCCTATAGGGATTGGAAGCATGTGTTACCGGTACACGGGCGGCTTCCTGATGGACTGGAACTTCCGTCGATATGCCAAGAGAGAGGGCATAGAGCTTGTCAAGAACCGCCAACAAGACCTCAGGGTGCTACCTATCGAAAGGATGAGGATAGAAATATCTTTACCATTGGTATACATGGCGTGCGCTATGATTGTTGTTTATGGATGGATCATGGACCAGAATCTGGGACTTGCTGGTATCGAGGTCTCCTTATTCTTTTTTGCTCTATTCTTTTCTGGGGCGCTCAACAATCTGAACACACTCATTGTGGATTTGAATACTGGTTCTGCAGCCACGGCTGTGGCGGCGAATAATCTCGGCAGATGCTTGGTTGGAGCAGGTGCGGCGGCTATTGCAAATCCCATGATCGATGGTCTAGGCCTCGGGTGGACTTCAGTCCTTATCTCCGGTCTGTGGCTCATCATAAGTGTTCTTCTTTGGGTAGTTATGTCAAAAGGTCGAAAATGGAGGATAGAAAAGCAAAAGGGCTAAGTATATAATGATACGTATTTAGTGTATAGAAGCCTTAGTAAATATAGAGGATATCTACTTCAGGCAGATTTTGTAAGCCTTATAGGGGGGTCCAGATAAAAAGAAGATGCTCCTCGTGGCCTTATTCTAACGACAGATTGACCCATTAAAGGGTGCAAAAGTCTATTTTATCATCGACTCTATATGAGAAGCGCATAGATACCCAACTGCTTCATAGTACTACTGCAGTCCCACTGTTCATTTGAGTGCTCAGCTCTATTCTTCCAACAAGCTCGCAAGATATCCCGAACAATTCCACAGTTTCCTATCATTACGGTTCCCTCAAATACTACACTATCCAACAATGCTTCAAAGAATGGCTGCTGGTCCGGATCCGCTAAACAGCCAGCGACACATATAGGCCAGCTTAGTTGCCGGGGAGAGAGCGTGGAGGAGGCCATTTTGATCTCGAGAATCACTCGGCTGACTGCTCTTCTCGGGGCTGTCGATGGGATGTTATCGGAAATCTCAGCGCTGATGGCCGCGAGCTGGGCCAGGGCCGCAGCAGCAAATATGCGAGTGACTGAATATTGCTCAGGTCGCTGCACTGACTTCGTGTGACAGGGTCTTTGACTTGATGGAGCTTTGGATGACAATCCTTGACATTCCATGGCGGCCATAGGAGTCGTATCCATAACATTCTCTAGTTCATCTTCGATCCGTTGCCACTTTGTCCGAAAGACCTCAAGATCAAGACTACCTTCGTCAAGAGAGTCAGACTTCCACTCAATCAAGACTGCAAGGTCCCCTATGGATTTCATGACTGAGTTCTGGCAACCCATTATATGTGCGAGCTGAAATGTGCAATTAGGCTCCAGCCACTCATCATATGGAAGCTTTGGTCTCTCCCGTGTGGCTACACAGGCCAGTAGATCGATCCAGAGCAGGACTGGGAGATGGAATGCCATGGCTGCAGTAGCTTTGCCTTCAAAGAGGGGGGTTGGAAGATGATCCGCTGGTTGCGGAAGGGGAGGCTGATTATGCATCATGACTGCGATGGAGGACATGGCAGATAAATGCGGTTGCCAGTTTGTCGCACTTCCTCGAAGGACCTGTTGTCTTTCAGCGCTCGTCCGGGTCGGTTTCAAGGGGATTTACCTCAAAGCTAATGAGGGCGATACCACAGGTGATAATCTCCACCAGAGTTTCATTCTTGGGATGCAGTTCATTGGTGTCAATAGATGAAAGAAAATCCTGTAATTGCCCAACAGCTTTGGTATGGAACTCAAGTTCGAGATGATGGTTGTCTGTCTCGCCCAACAGTGATCGCTGGTGCAACGCTGCGAGACCCATGGACGCGCGGTAGAGAGGACCATTCTTGCTAAGAAGCCAGAGAAGCCAACCTCTAGACAACCTTGATTTGTCGAAGAAAGGATACTGGTAGGGAAAGACGTGATCTAGGTAGTGCATAAGGAGACTGGCCTCGTCGAAGTGAAGGGGCTCGGCGAATGACTGTCCCGAGAGGACACGGCTTTGTAAGGATCGAGGTGTCAAGATTGGCGATGGGGCGGTTCCAAAATTGGGATTTGCTAATGAGGTGAGTAAGGATTCATGTTGGCGACAACCAGGGACTTACTTTGAGAAGCATTGCAGAATTGATTGCCTTGCTCGGCAACGCTTGATAGATTCTGTCCTTGACTTGTGTTCCGATTGTAATCTCTGAGCTGACGTGCCTGAAGCCTTTTCTTCTGCCTACAGTTCTTCTTTACAGCCTGTTTAATGCGCTGCTTCTCTTGATTTTCGCGTAGACCTCCGTCCATCCAGGATGGAACGGGCCCATAGCCATGGCACTGCATGTCCCTGCTGGTACATTGGAGACAAGCCGTTGGTGCTCCGTCGCATTTGAAGTGCCTGATCTTGCATGTCCAACAGCATGCGGCTTTCATCCGCCCTGTTATTGTCGGCATCTCAGGTGAAACAAACAGGGAGCGTGCCTCCACCATCTGTATCGCTGATGAAGGTCCCGAAGATGGAAGTGCACGTTCCGAGTCTCAACTTCGGGGGAAACCACTGATCGATTGATGTTAGCAGGAGGGGTTGGCCCATTTCCCGCAGTCGTTGGGGGTCGAGAATCGCAATCACCTTCCCTCTAGGGCTTAGCTTGTCCGAAGTTAAAGCTCGGAGCCAATCATACTTTGAATAGGCCATCGCTTTTCCGAAGGGACGGTCGACGCATTCTCGGAGGTCGAGACAGGTGACAACTTACAAGTCAGTCTCGGGCAGTATGCTCGGGCGCCATGTACCAGCGCAGCTTGGAAGACCGCAGCTGCATACATATAAATGATACGTTTCCTTACCTTTATCTCCCTCTTTCTCCAAGACTCCTACTCTTCAACACCCTCTGTCTATCTCTTACTTCTTGATTATCTCCTCGCCCAAAATGACCAACAAATCAGCCCTTAAACTGCCTGATGCCAGCATCAGCGACCTCAAACAACTGCTCGATACTCGAGCCATCACAAGTGTTGAGCTTGTCGCACTTTATCTGCATCGCATCGGCAAATATGACTGTCGAGGTCCTTGTCTCAACTCAATTACTCTGATAAACCCAGACGTCTTCACCGAAGCTCAAGCCTCGGATGATTACCGTGCCTCGGGAAAACCACCGCGACCTCTGGAGGGTATCCCCTTTACCGTCAAAGACAGCTACAAGGTTAAAGGCATGACTGTCGCAGCTGCATCGCCTGCCTTTGCAAAGCTCGAAGCTACTTCTGACGCTGCCATTGTTGAACTGCTTCGTAAAGCAGGCGCTATTGTACTTGGAAAGACCAACATGCCCCCGATGGCTGACGGCGGCTGTCAGCGTGGATTGTACGGACGGTCCGAGAGCCCATATAATCAGAAGTATATGCCCACCGCTTATGCATCTGGCTCATCTTATGGCTGCGGTGTGTCTACTGCCGCGAGCCTGGCTGCCTTCGGCTTCGCCGGAGAAGCTGTCACTTCGGGTCGCTCTCCAGCATCCAACAATGCCCTGGTCGCCTATGCACCCTCCCGCAGTGTGATTCCTCCCCGAGGATTATGGCCTTTGTATCCAACTTGCGACCAGGTCGTTCCTCACACAAGGACTATGGATGACCTATTTCAAGTTCTAAACGTTGTTGTCGCTCATGACGGCGCTGCCGGCGACGCTGACTTTTGGCGCTCACAGCCATATGTATCACTCCCCAGGGTTAGTGAGATTCGGCCTACAGACTATCTTACGTTGGCCGACCCAGATGCGCTTCGGAACAAACGACTGGCTGTTCCTCGATGTTTCATTGGAGTTGAAGGTGCCAAGCCAGTAAACGCATGTTCTGCTGGCGTCCAAGCACTATGGGAGAGAGCGCGCACAGACATCGAGAAGCTGGGTGCCACCGTGATTGAGACTGATTTCCCCCTCTTTGAGAACTATACGAGACAGGACTTTCCTGGACAGAGCATGAATGTCCTTAATCTACCCGAGGAATGGCCAGCGCTCGAGCGATGTGAGATGATCGCCTTGAGTTGGAACAGCTTCCTTCGCGATAACGGTGATAATGGTATACCAAGCTTCACATCTGGAGTCGAGCTTGACAAGATTCACCCTCACATCGCCCCAATGGACGACCCGTCTCAGCACACAGAGTCCCAGAACCAGGTCCGCTACGAGGACATGGTTACTGCGGTAGAAAGCTGGGGAGACAAGAGCCTCGCTGACTTACCTGGGTGTTGCGAGGCGCTCCAGGCCTTGGAGGCCATGCGGAAGAAGGATTTGGAGGACTGGATGGCCGAGAACAACTATGATGCTGTGGTGTTTCCGACCAATGGAGATGTTGCGTTGGCTGATTCAGACGAAAGCTACGAGTCGATGGTTTCTGCACTGCGTGATGGAGTCAAGTATGCCAATGGTGGCCGATCGCTGAAGCATCTTGGGGTCCCTTGCATAACTGTGCCAATGGGTAATCTTGCTGAAGAGAAGATGCCTGTCGGGCTATCTTTCTGCGGCAGAGCGTATGATGACTCTAAGCTACTGAGCTATGCTTTTGCCTACAAAAAAGCCACGAAACGTCGGGAGCTTCCACCTTTGGCGCCGTTCCTACCTTCAGATGAGATCACTGTCACCGTTTCTAGTGCTCCGTCGCCTGCGCTCGCAACACCAATTCTCAACATAGTATCTGTATCATCTACCAGCGAGGATTCCTCAGACTTGGATGTTCGCGTGGTAAAAGCAGCGGGAACTTGTCACTTGCCCGGCTCAACCGAGTCTCCAATCAGCTTGGAAGTCTTTGCCAATGGTGAGACAACATCCACCGTTAGTTGGTCCGGAAACGATTGGGTATGGACGGCTCGCCGCACTCGGCCCAAGCGGGACGACAAGTACCCAGCTCTAGCAAAGGTTCCGAGGGATCAGTTTCTTATTGTCTTCGTTGCCAAGGCAGATAATGGACGCTCATCAGGATCTTTCACCTTGCTTGACTAAGTAAAGACTATCCATAAAACTGTTTAGTATGAACCAAGAATTTGTTTGCTTTCATACCTCAAGCACCAGTCCATGATCTGCCAAATTAGCTGCCATCATGTTTCAGCGATGTCTATGAAATGATTGTGTTATAATGTAAGCAACGACAACCCAGTACTAGTGAATCCACTACCCCAACTTGTCTGTAACAAATCGAAAGGTCAAACCATCTACAGGCATATCCGAACCCATCTCTATACTGCATCGAACCACTTCATAAGCACTCGTCTCATATGCCCGCAGTCGTTCCTCTTGTTCTCGAGACTCAATAAGAAGCGCTTTTCCAAAGACTAAGTTGGTGCCTATTGGATCGTCAACCAAGGCATTACATCTTCCCCAAGTCTTCAAAGCTCCACCACGAATATTGGCCACAGAGCATCGGGCCTGGAAGTCGGGACCAAGTAGTTTCAACAGAACAGATGGATCAGTAAGCGTCCCGTAGAAGAAATACCAGACTGGATACTCGTTCTGTGAAGGGCGGGGCGCTATAGCTGGTCCAGGTCGAAACTGAGGCAGTGTTGTATCGAGACCCAACGTGGGGTACAAAGAAGTGGACGAGAGATCTTTTCGTGCATAGGGATCCTTGATGATGGTTGGTGTGAAACCTGGGTGGGGATGTTCCTTCAGCCATGCTTCAATGGCCAGCTTGTCCATCCCGTTGATCTTGAAAAAGGAACACGGTTGTCCATATAGGTTAGTGGCCGGAAGAACTTTAGTCGAGGACAGAGACCATAGGTCAGCTGCATAAAGCAGGGTTTAAAATTCCCATGGGTACCTAATAATAGCTTAATACCCCCCAGTTACCCAGGCATATAGTTAGGTAAATAATAGTATATATAGGTACCTATAGGTATTTTAGAAACTCTTTATACTACCTAAAAAATATATAGGTATTAAAAAGTACCTATAGGTACTTATAGGTAATATTATACTTTTTTTATATTACTTTAAGAAGTAGTATTAATATAATATATTTATAGTAATTACTTATAGTAATTTATATAAAAAGTATATTTAAATATTTTAAAATATAATAAATTAAATATTTACTATTTATAGGAAAAGTATTATCAGTTTCTAGCTAACTGCTTAATACTAGTAGTTTAAGAATTAAGTCTTTTAATCTAGCTTTTACCTTATAATAACTACTATAAGTTAGTATAATAAGTCTTACTTAGTCTAGGTCTTTTTAAAGGTATATAAAGACAGGGGTTAATAAAATCTAAGTTATAAAAAGACTAAGGCAGGCTTAATAGTATAGGTAATAGTAATTAGTTTATAAATAATAGTAAAAGTTATAAGTCCTGAGAATAGGTAAAAGATATTTATAATTAGGGAATAATAGAAAATAGTTATTAATAGGTTACTAGTAAAGTATCTATATAAATAACTTCTTCTTTATGTATTATTAGAAGGTAAAGGAAGGTTAGATACTGTAGTATTTCTCTAAGTAACGTTAAATAGGTAAGGGCCTTTTGTAGCTCTTAAAGCTATTCTGGGGAGTCCTTTATAAAAAAAGAGAGCTTAAATAAGTCTAAGTTAAGAGACTTTTAGGTTTAGTTTAAGGTTATTAAATAGAAATATAATAAGAACCTTTTTTTAATTAAAGAAACCTTTAATATATATTGTTTAT